GATACAACTTGCGCCTCAAAAGGAAGATCTTACTACCTTCCTTCCAACATGAAGTCAGAGTTAGGGAAGTTCGTGGATAATTGTACTATGCTCAATGCCATGACACTTCAGGTACCTGGAACAGTCCGTGTCCGTGTCCATTTGCAGTAAGACCTGGATAACATTCAGGCTTGGACTAATAAGCTGAAAGTAACATCTGCATCACAGAAGTGCCAGGCGATGACCATCGCTAACGAGAGAATTTAACCATCATCCCCTAACATTCAATGGCAATTATCATCACTGAATCCCCCACTAACATTATCCAGGAGATTACAATTGACAAGAAATTGAAGTGAACCAATCAAAAATACTGCAGCTACAAGAGATCAGAAGCCGTCTCCCCAGAAAATGCCCACCATCCACAAGGCACAAGTCAGGAGTGTGATAGAATACTCCCCAATTCCCTGGATGTGCGCAACTCCAATTATAGTCAAGAAGCATGACACCACCCATGACAAAGCAGCCCACTTGATGCCATTCCATCCGCCAGATTCAACATATACCCACTTCATCGCAGACACACGGTACGTGCCATCTACCATAACAAGGCTCCTCCAACAGCAGCTTCCAAAGCCATGATCTCTATCACTCCGTAAAACAAAGGCAAATGCATGGGAACACCATCACCTGCAAGTTCCCATCTAAGGCACATGCTATCCTGATTTGGATCTATATCTCAGACCCTTCACTGTCACTGGGTCAAAATCTTGGAACTCCCTTCTTAACGGTACTGTGGGTGTTCCTACACCAACAATTGCAGCTGTTCAAGACAGCAGCTCACCAACACTTTCTCCTCGACAGTGAGGAAAGGATGATAAATGTTAGCTTAGCCAGTCATATTCCATGCATGAATGACAAAAAAAACTATGGCAGTTTCAAGTCATTTCACTTAAAGTTGCGATTTTCAGGAAGGGAACCACAATTCTAAGTGACACTGTACTACATAACATTACCCGGAATAAGTTTTAGAAACTCATTACCCCCTCTCTGATTTATGCTATTGTTATCACAGTCTATATAGGGATAATTAGGTCATCCATTACAATTAGCTGGTAGATTTTGCACCTCTGTAAATTGCTTGCAAGTGTCTTATCTTCTATCTTTTCTGCTGGTCGGTGGTACCTCTAGAACATCTTACCTCTCATCAAATATTGTTTGCGCATTCTAGGGAAGTTTCTTTCTCCAGAATTCTAATTTAATCTTTAATCAAAACTGCTGCTAGTCCCCCTTCTTTTCCTTCCCATCTATCCTGATATCACATTATATCCAAGAATACGGGGACAGACAAGTAAATGAAACTAGCCTGCAGATTAGCCATGATCTGATTGAATGGTGAACAGCTTCCAAAGGCTGAATGGTCCATTCTTGTTCCTAAAAGCCAAACCACTCAATCTTTCACATTCATTAAAAAAAAATCTGAATTTGATGTTATTAGTTCTGTTCAAGATTAACTTATCTTCTCAGCTTGTGAAAATTGCCTCAAAAAGAGCTGCACTATAAACAAAGGAAGAATAGAAATGTGGTGTATATGGATTTTAGCAAGGCATTTGATAAGGTTCTACATGGTAGGCTCATTCAGAAAGTAAGGAGGCATGGGATTCAAGGAAATTTGGCTGTCTGGATACAAAACTGGCTGTCCAATAGAAGACAGAGGGTGGTAAGAGATGGAAAGTATTCAGCCTGGAGCTCAGTAACCAGTGGTGTTCCGCAGGGATCTGTTCTGGGACTCTGCTCTTTGTGATCTTTATAAATGACTTGGATGAGGAAGTGGAAGGGTGGGTTAGTAAGTTTGCCGATGACACGAAGGTTGGAGGAGTTGTGGACAGCGTGGAGGGCTGTTGTAGGTTGCAACGGGACATTGACAAGATGCAGAGCTGGGCAAAGAAGCGGCAGATGGAATTCAACCCAGAAAAGTGTGAAGTGATTCATTTTGGAAGGTCGAACTTGAATGCAGAATACAGGGTTAATGGCAGGATTCTCGGCAGTGTGGAGAAACAGAGGGATCTTGGGGTCCACGTCCATAGATCCCTCAAAGTTGCGACCCAAGTTGATAGGGTTGTAAAGAAGGCGTATGGTGTGTTGGCTTTCATTGGCAGGGGAATTGAGTTTAAGAACCGTGAGGTTATGCTGCAGCTCTATAAAGCGCTGGTTAGACCACACTTGGAATATTGTGTTCAGTTCTGGTCATGTCATTATAGGAAAGATGTGGAAGCTTTAGAGACGGTGCAGAAGAGATTTACCATGATGCTGCCTGGACTGGAGGGCAGGTCTTATGAGGAAAGTTGAAGGAGCGAAGAAGGACGAGAGGTGATTTGATAGAGGTTTACAAGATGATGAGAGGCATAGATAGAGTGGACAGTCAGAGACTTTTCCCAGGGCAGAAATGACTATTATGAGGGGGCATAATTTTAAGGTGATTGGAAGAAGGTATAGGGGAGACGTCAGAGGTAGGTTCTTTACACAGAGAGTGGGGGGCATGTGGAATGCGCTGCCGGCAGTGGTAGTGGAATCAGATACTCTAGAGACTTTTAAGCGACTCTTGGATAGGCATATGGAGGATAGTAAAATGTGGGATATGCAGGGTAGATTGATCTTAGTAGGATAATAGGTCAGCACAACATCGTGGGCCGAAGAGCCTGTACTGTTCTACGTTCTACGTTCTAAGTCAGTTTATGACTACAGATGAGGAAAGCAGCTTTTAGACTGGTGATAAAAACAAAAACATGAAAAGTTAAGAGCAAAACTGTCAGACAGATATGCAAACACATATTACTACTCCTTGTGCAAGTTCTTGCATTTAATTTTTCTCTTGTCTTTCTACACTGCATCCCCACTAAAGAAATTACCACATAGTCCAGATGTCCAGAACTATGTGCATTAAATCAAGGTAACACTTACCAGTGCAAGCCATGTTCAACAAAATGGAACAGAAACTAAAGTGGACACCTCAGGACAAATGCTCAAATGAGAAAGGTAAAACCTGTAGGATAAGCATATAATGGCAATTTTAAAATGGTCATTCGAAGCCACTAACATTTTAGAAATCTAACTGCTCAAGTCTTACAGCCTAAAAAGTAACAAATTCTTATCAAAGCTGCGACAAACTGGAGCTTGATCTCGTTAATATAAACAAATTGCTAGAGAAACTCAACAGGTCTAGCAGCATCTGTGTAGAGGGAAACAGTTTGTTTTGAGTCCAATGTCACTTGATCTAGTGGTTGCATTGTACCAAATTCATTCAAGAATGTGCATTTAAACAGCTCCCTTAAAACAGGAAAATATTCTAAGGTACTGAACAAGATCAGTAAAACATTTTTGACACTATATCAGAGATGAAGAATTAGAGTAGTGTGCACATTTCAGTATAATTACCATAGACATTAAAGGTTCACTTGATTGATATCTGGGATGAAGTGACTGTCTTATGAACAGAAATCAAGTAAAGTGGACTTACATTCCATGGAATTTGGAAAATTAGAGGCATGTCATTGAAACAAACACTTAAAAGGGCTTGTTTGGATAAATGCTTCTCAGGGGTAAGCCATATTTAGGTAGAGCTGAAGAGTAATTAATTTCTCTCAAAGGATTGTAAACTCTAATTTCTACCTCAGAGGGTTTTGGATGGCTGAGTCAATGAGTACATACATTCAAGACATCTTGTTGTCTTTGGATACCAAGGGAATCAAGCGATATTAAGATATTCTTGGAAGGGGGATAAGAGGTAGATGAAATATGACTTAATTGAATGATAAGCAAGGTTGATTGGTCAAATAACATTCTTGCCTCGATTTCTTAGAAGTTTGGGGAACTTCAGAGGTTATCAGTTCATGGCTTTTTTTTTTGTGGGGGCGGGGTGGGTTTGGGAACCTTCAGAAGTGATTCTCTGGCTATGATTCAATAGTTAAAGTCTTTGAATATCACTGAGAAAAAAAACACACATTTTGTCAAAGTTATTCGTCTTGCACTCATCTGGAAAAGAACAAATTCAGCAAACAATACAATGATATCCACAAGAGTTAATCACAATCACGGAAAGCTTTGGTTTTAGACATTTTTCTTTCCAGCTTCTGTAATGGGGATAAAAAGAAAACTTGAACAAATTTAACATTGTTGGCATGATCTAAATATCTTATAGTACAATTTTTTGTGGATTGTGAACAAAAATTGATATGGTTCAGAAATCAACTTTGGTAATCCTATATAATCTTCTATTTTACTGCTGGTCTTCACCAATCACAATGAATCATGGGCGTTCTTCTACAGATGTCATCGTTTTTCAAGGACTGCAACTCCCCCCCCTCAGTGGTCGAGAACACCCTCGACCGTGTCTCCCGCATTTCCCGCAACTCATCCCTCACACCCCGTCCCCGCAATAACAACCAAAAAAGAATCCCCCTCGTCCTCAGGTACCACCCCACCAACCTCCGGATCCAACGCATCATCCTCCGACAGTTCCGCCATCTGCAATCTGACCCCACCACCAAAGACATTTTTCCCTCCCCACCCTTATCTGCTTTCCGGAGGGACCACTCTCTCCGTGACTCCCTTGTCCGCTTCACACTCCCCTCCAGCCCCACCACACCCGGCACTTTTCCCTGCAACCGCAGGAAGTGCTACACCTGCCCCCACACCTCCTCCCTCACCCCCATCCCAGGCCCCAAGAAGACTTTCCACATCAAGCAGATGTTCACCTGCACATCTGCCAATGTGGTATACTGCATCCGCTGTACCCGGTGTGGCCTCCTCTACATCGGGGAAACCAAGCGGAGGCTTGGGGACCGCTTTGCAGAACACCTACGCTCGGTTCACAATAAACAACTGCACCTCCCAGTCGCAAACCAATTCAACTCCCCCTCCCATTCCTCAGACGACATGTCCATCCTGGGCCTCCTGCAGTGCCACAACGATGCCACCCGAAGGTTGCAGGAACAGCAACTCGTATTCTGCTTGGGAACCCTGCAGCCCAATGGTATCAATGTGGATTTCACAAGCTTCAAAATCTCCCCTCCCTCTACCGCATCCCAAAACCAGCCCAGCTCGTCCCCGCCTCCCTAACCTGTTCTTCCTCCCACTTATCCCCTCCTCCCACCTCAAGCCGCACCCCCATCTCCTACCTACTAACCTCATCCCGCCTCCTTGACCTGTCCATCCTCCCTGGACTGACCTATCTCCTCCCTACCTCCCCACCTACACTCACCTTTACTGGCTCCATCCCCCCCTCTTTCCTCTCCACCTATCTTCTCCTCTATCCATCTTCTATCCGCCTCCCCCTCTCTCCCTATTTATTTCAGAATCCCCTTCCCCTCCCCCATTTCTGATGAAGGGTCTAGGCCCGAAACGTCAGCCTTCCTGCTCCTATGATGCTGCTTGGCCTGCTGTGTTCATCCAGCTCTACACCTTGTTATCTCTCGTTCTTCTACAGTTCTTGGTGGCCACAATGACCATGCTCAAACAGAAATTTTCAGCTGTAAATTTAATACTGTTTCACCCCTCCCACCACTAAAGCACACCAGCACCCCCCACCTAACCAACCCAGCGGTTTCTAGAAAAAATAGTTTACAACGCATTCAACATTAATAGTCTTAAAATGCTCAACTTAAAACACAAGTTCACATTGATGAGACACTAACTGTTTAAGTTTGCTGATTTTGTTACAGACAGAATCAGAAGGTAGAGCACAGAAGGAATTAATTTTGTTCATTGAATCTATTATCTGCCCTTTTAAAGAACTGAAGCAGACCTCAATCTGCTAATTTTATTACTCTCCTATTAATTAACTAGTCCAAGATACACAATACACCATGCCATTTCTTTCAAGCAGGTTCCCAAAACCACCTTCACCACTAACATATATAACTGGTACTGACAAGATTTATAAACTAGTACCACTTATTTCAAACCATCTAGGCTTTTTCAACAAAGAGAAAAAGACTGAATGAATAGAATTTCAGTAGAAACCAATAATTATTCCTGAAGAACTGAGAAGGTAACAAGTCAAGTCTTGCACATGAATGAGACAGCCATCACTATAAGTGTAGAAGAACAAATAACTTGCAAGCTTTACAACTGAACAGTTGCCCAATTGCTGAAGTACACTATCAATCAATTTAGTCACAATGGATAGCAAGTTTTCAACTGGAAAAAGGACAAAAACAAAGTGAAACTCTTTTGTGATAGCACTACTTACTGAAATGTTCATTTTTATTGATCTATCATGCTGAAATCTCAAGTAACAGGTTGACATCATAAGGATAAAAACAAGTAGAAAATAAGAGATAAAGTGTCTTAGCTTGAAACAACAACCCTCTCCTTGTCAACAAGATGGAAAATGTTGGAAAACACAAAGCAGTACCGATGTCAATTTGTCCTTTTCAGATATGAATTTGAATATGAATTTGTCTTTACACTCTGTAGTTATTACTGATCTGCACAAAGTTTCCTGCTTGTTCTGAATTTATTACAGACAGAATTAGGAGGTACAGCACAGAACAAATTAATTTGGTACACTGAATCTATTATTACCTGCTCTTTTAAACAGCAGTACAGTTAGACCCATTCTCCCATATTTTACTCATCTTTGCAGTATTTTATTGTTCAAACATACATCTACATTCCTCCCAAAAAGTAGCTTTTTGAAACTTTTTCCACCTTCCCATCAGCAGCACATTCCAAATTCTAGCCATTTGTTGTGTAAAAACCTTTTCCTCATATTGCTAGCACTGACAGACTTATAAACTAGTACCACATTTCAAAATAACCAGTCTTCTATGATGAGGAGGTTCTTGCTCTTTTGTCATTCACTTCAAATCTGCTTCCTCTGACCACTAACCCTTTGGCCTACAAAAGGTTTCTTGATGTATTCTATCTAAACGCTTCGTAATTTTATTATTTTATATCACCATTTAACATTCTCATCTCCAAGAAGAATCCAGCCTCACTAATCAATCCTCATAACTGGAATCCCTCATAGCTGGAATGATTTCAATAAGTAACTTGTGTAACACTTCTAAAGTCTTCATCTTCATACCTCAAGCATGGTGCTTAAAAGTGGACACACAACTTCAGAGGGTCCAAATCAGCATATTATATTGTTGCACTTCTTTGCTTTTGTATTCTATGGTTCTACTTATAAAGTCCAGCATTCTATGTTCTTCATTAATTGTTTTTTAAACCTATCCTGACACCTTTAAAAGAGTTCCACTCAAGCATATCCATGTTTCTCTTTCTTACATCTGCTTTAAAAAAAAACACGAAAGAAAATACATATTATAATGGGACATCTTTTCTATCAAAGCACGTCACTTCTCACTTTTCTGAATTAAAATAAGTTTGTCTGTCAAGCATCCATCCAATCCACCATTCTAAGCCCTCTTGACATCTATTACTATCTTTCTCACTGTTAGTACACATACAAATTTCAAAATTATGCCTTAGTCCAAGGTCAACAGTGTATACCAAAAATAGCACTGAATCCTTAAAGAACAAAGTATATATGTCTCCAGTCCAAAGAGCCATTCCCACTCAAAAACTCATACTCAATTTTGTATGTATGATGCTCAAATGCCTTTTATCCATCAGTTTTGCTAACAAAAGTATTACATTGAACACTTTTGAAAGTTTATATACACAAACTTCACTATTGCCAGTTTTGGTTTTAAGCTTTTAAATCAGTATTTTCTTTTCCAGTTGAGAATATTTTTGCTGAAAATGGTTACATGGGGAGAGAGTGTAATTTTTTTAGTTTATGTTCATTTAAGTTAATAAAACATTCAGGCCACAGGAGGAAAACGATTGTGGGTTAAACAAACTTTTTTTTAAAAAAAAGGTTACACAAACGGTAGAGAAGCATCTCCACGCATTTTAAGTCTAGCTTCATTTCTCAAACAAGCCACAAGGTTGTTCTAGAAAATATATAAACCGTTATCTGTCATTCTGGTAGATGGAGAGATCAGGCCACATGCTAGAGAAGCTCTCGGTATTTAAAAAGACATATTTGATCATTGGGGAAAGAGAACAACCAAAAGGTTGTATTCAATAATTATCAACTAATACAAATACATCATGTTACAGTACTTGGCAAGTGTGTTTAACAATCATTTTCAAAAAGCAATTACAAAGTAATCCAGTGGAACAATCATTTTGGCTTCAACTAGTTTCAGTATTGTATTTTGGGAAAACAAAATACTACAGTAAAAGGCAAAGTTGCACAACTGTTTTGAGATAATGCAACCCTCATTGATATTATACATTAAAGCCCTAGCAGCAAAAAAAGATAGATTATAAATAGACTTACAACAGTTAACACTTTCAAACTAAAGCCATTTTTCAACAAATAAATATCACCAATTCAACTATCTTCAGTACGCTTCCAGTCCAAGGGAAGTTGCTTCAAAATAAGCTTATTTACATTTGATCCACACTTACCAAAGTAGAATTAGGGCCAACAGTCAACGAAAACAGACCAACTTCTAAAAAGAAAACAGGTTATTAGTTTTATCCCAGACAGTGGTAATTTAAAAGTAACATTAGCAGAGGTTTGACAAATAGAGAAACCTGTTCGGAAAAGTTTTGGATTCAGCCTGACGAATCCCTGGAAGTCCTGGTAGGGACAAAATGCCCTCACCCATCCCCACAGGGGGCACTATTAAATTTTTCAAGTGTAGGAAGCATCACAACTGCCCCTAATTCCAAACCAACTCTTAACCCAGTTCTGTTGGTTTCGGATAAACTGAAGAGCAACCAAGGCCACCGAAATGCATTCAACTGAGCGAAGGCTGTGGGAGAATGAAGACGGACCTTGAGACAGTTACATACACAAAACACCGACTTTTGCTGACACCAGTTTTTGTTGGCCCTTTAAAATACCAAGCGGGTTGCTAGCCAAAGACAGGACGCATAAGATGTGCGTGGGAATCAAAGTCAATATAAAAAAGATCATAACTTCCACCCACCCGAAGACCGACCACTAACTGCGATTAGATGCAGCCCTTCCTACGTGCTCCCTTTACCTCAGCTCAATAGCTACTGGTGCCACCCCCGGGCTCCCGCGCCACGCCACAGGCTCCGCCTCTTTACATTCAAACCGGTCTCGTGGGCAACGGCTAACGGTCGACATTTAACGATTAACGACTTAACGATCATTTTAAAATGTCTTCAACAGTTCTTCAAAGATGTAACTTTTTAAAAACTTAAACATCATATTTATTCGCTATCGCATTTGATTTCATTCCCGTACTTGGCACTTTTAGGTTATTCCCACTGTCATGTGCATTTCAGGGAACCTGATCGTTATCTTTAGTAAAAGCAGCGCAGCAATGAAATATGTATTAGGCATATTAAAACAAAACGTATGAATGAAGAGTATAAAAATACCTCCTCCAGCCATAAAATTTGGCCTAAAGACGGAAAACATCGAATCACTTAAATGATATTGAAGGCATCGGCTGGATCACCCGTGACGTTGCTCACGGTAAATGGAGATGATGGCGCTAATTTAATTATACGGGCTTATATGAGGTACTACTTATTGCAAGATTTGTTATGCTACAGCTATGCACCTGTATTGACATTAATTATTGCAAGTAGGTATATTAAAGGGACAGCTAGAGATCAATTGCATTCATAACCTGATTAAACCTGTAAACATTGATTCGTAATGCACAATAATTTGACACGGTGCCTAGAAATTCAGGATCAAGTATGAGGTGAGGGTGTTTGAAGAATGCTAGAGCCAATGATTAGCATGTCAATAACAACTTAATTGCTATGATGAAGCATACAAAGAATTGAAAGGTTCAAGATGCTGACCTTCAAGACCCATTTCATTTATAACAGAACCAAAAAGGTCCCAAGTCCTCACAAACGAAAATCGAAATACTTTCACAACAGAACATTAGTCAGTGTACTGAACAAGCTGCTACTTAGGCAGATGGTAGAAGTTAGCATCAATTTATACACAATAGACTGGCTTCCAAAAAAATAATATTTTGAGCATGAGTAATGAGACTTGTGGAACATACCTGGAGATAATGTGATTTGGGATCTACCACTCCCAAAGGTCTCCAATGGGGGCTTTTATGTCCCAAATGATTTGTTCATTTTATTAATGCTGCATGCAGTTACAAGAATGATACAGTACAAACTTGCAAGATTTCAATTACTCATTCTACAGTCTAGCACTCTTCCGATTAAGACGTTTTGCAGGTTAGATGTTTGTAACTTGAGGGCTTGGAGTTTAAAAGGGAGTCATTTCATTTATGTACAGAAAATGACCAATCAAAACTTTGTCAGATCATCTTGGTATTTCTGACCCAGGATGTACGATTACGCTGAAGTATATTCCAGAAAGGGTAGTGTACCCGAAACAAAAGGTCTACCAAAAGTAGACCACATTCAAAACATTGCAATTATGTTATTAGCAAGAAAAAAGGTGTTCAAATCAGTGTTGTAGAATTTTGAATGGATGGCAACATGGACACATTTCTATATAGCACTTTACCTCCAATCTCCCCCCACACTTTTAACCGTCAATGATAGTGGACAGATTTCCAACTGCTCAAGACAAAAATTGTACATGTCAAGATTCCACAAATCCATGAAAACAGATGTTTTTCATCTAAAAGTTCAAATAGAACACTCCCACTTTCAAATATCTCCACAGGATCTTGTGCACAATTGCAGATCAGGCCTTACTACTACTACTACAACTACAACTACTAAGTGTGCAACTCTTGATAGCATAGGGTTGACAATTACATCAGGGAGACAAAGCAATATCTGAATGATTGCATATAGTACGGCAGTCAGGTAACTTCACTGAACAACCTGAAACAAAAGATAGTAAGAACTGCAGACACTGGAGAATCTGAGATAACAAGGTGGTGTCGAGCTGGATGAACACAGCAGGCCAAGCAGCATCAGAGGAGCAGAAAGGCTGACATTTCAGACCAAGGCCCTTCTTCAGAAAGGTCTGAAACAAAGTCTACTTTGCTCACTATAACGTCTTGTCTGGGTATACCTTTCATGTTTCGTGCACCCCACCCCACACGGACTCAGGTGGCTTGAAATTGTAGCCATTGGTGGTGTAATAATTTCAGTAAAACGGGCTTCCCGTTGTAGTTTTTCCATAGTCCACTGAAGACTGGCACCATAAAACAATACCAGCTGTACCTTTGATACACTAGCAAGTCAAGGTTTTCTCTAGGTTGCCTTAATCTGCATCACTTCCTGGTGAGCCAAGTAGACATGGTACTATCCATTATCATTCATACCCATCCCTTCCTCAGGTATACCTGTTGTTTTTACAGGTAGATGGTTTCCACAGTTGAGATGATGCAGGAATGCACTATTCAAAGGTCTGAACCATCTTGCCAATCAAGCCCAGCAATCTCATCCACAAATAGTTATCTTTTTGTAAAAGTCATTATCAGTTTAATGGCAGCATTACATACACACAGACCAGAGCTCAAAGTTAACATGAAGTCAGTAGAAACAGCAGAGTCCACTTCCCCATTTGGGATCAGAATGTTATGTATTACTTGATCTAGTGGGACTCTTCCAGACTCTGAATAAGGCATTTTGCCTAGTATTACGAAGATTCGATACAAGGGTATGCCACTAGTAAGACATGGCTTAAGTTACTATGAATGAAGTTACTACACATGGTTTCAAACAGCAGGAGTCTTGTACAAAAAAAAAAAAAAAAAAAAATTTGCTCTGTCCCACCACTGAATAAAGAGAGACACAAGTCAACATCAATGGTGTAGTTTTATTGAAACCAAGGCAGATGTAACAGGTCAGGCAGGTTTACAGTTACACACTTAGACTAGACGTGTAACACATCAGTAAAGCATGCTAAAAGTTACACATTTCACAAAAGGAAAAACCTGAACCAGCAATTTCATTCACTTCACTACTTGTAGAAAAAATGCAGGAGCTCCATTTATCTACACGGGGTTTGGCAAGGGGAGGGGAAAAACAAGGGAAGAATAATCCACAAGATTGCTTACTAAAAAAAAAAAAAAAAAAAAAAAGTGAAAAAGCATACAAAATACAAGCTTCCCCACTGGTCAGCTTTTGGCTCGCAGTTGCACACTTAACAGCATTATTACAAATTAGGAGGAGTTCCCATTAACACACTGGCCATTAAAAAAAAACACATCTTTGGATGTTTGAAAATCCTCAAATTCCAAAAGAAAAAAGTATTGACATGGAGCTAGTCTTCATTTTCTTCTTTGATCTCTTTACTCTTTCGCACTTCTTCCATCCGCTTTTCCTAGAAAGAAAAAAAGTTTCTAAGTCACAAAACAAGGATCAATGAACCAATACCACAATTCTTCCAGAAACACTTGTTCCAATCAAGGTAACAATCAAGACACATTCTGTTTTAATGTGATTGGTCCTTAAATAGAGGACTGAAACAGACAGGGAGATTTTCCCAGGGTGACTATTTATGAATTAAATGTTCAAAAAGCTGTTATGTTTGCTAGCATTTGGAGAGAGACCAAGGATTTAACTATGCCAACTTTCACAGTACTGCAGGCATGGGACTTGTACTAACAGCATCTAGAATAGAGATTCAGTGGGGAATATAGAGGGAAAAGGATTCTTGCTTCCATCTGGTACCAAACGAATCCTGGAGTTTCTACTGCAAGGACTGATAGTACCTTAGAGAGTGCAAAAGACATTTCAATCCTTTGCCGCAAAGTGGCTTGGTTGACTACCAGCACCACAGAAGTCAAATCACATTTGTCTTCAGAAAGGAGATGGGGTATGAGAGTGAGAAAACAATGGTATAATGGCACCATCAGCTAAAATCTAAGTAATGTCAAATTTCACTCTCCACGCAGCAATAGTTGCTACAAGACATCCATTAGTTCCATCATTACCTTTTCCCGTAGGCGCTCCAGTTTGGCTGCTAGTTGGGCTTCACGGTTCTCTTTGTTAGCTTCCATCTTGGTGGTCAGTTTTTCTTCTGCCATTTTCCTGAAATTGTTGTTTTCTTCAATAGCTTTCTGAAGCACTTCCTTTTCATGCTCACGTTTTTCAGCCAACTGCTTTAGCACTTCTGCTTCATGTGACTAAAAAACAGAAAACAAAATAAGGCTGCATTACAAAACAAACCTCACTATCCAAAAGGTTCAAGTATTGCATTGAAAGCAAAATGTAAACAGTTGCACATGATCAGTATACACAATTATGAACTACTCCTTGTTCTGTACAACTAGCTCACTGTAGCCTTCACAGGTAAACTCACTGGACATATTACTATGTTTAAGTAGCCACATTATGTACATCACATGGACCATTAAATAAAATTCTATTGCCAAGAAAGAAACACATTTGAAAGATCTGGCCAATTCCAGCAAGTCTTTGTAACTGTATACTTTTTTGGGGAAAACACCCAAGTTGCACAACTTTTAAAGTAGGCTGCCCAGAAATCCAGTTAAGCTGCTTTTTGATCAGTTCTGTAAATAGATTAATCATCCTTTTTAAGGCTGAAGGGGTGAGAAAGGCAGTTGGATAAAAGCTTGGAAGTTTAATTTTTAAGAAGAGTGTTGCTAATAGAACAGCTGAAAAGAAAGGTTTGAAAGTGCAAAAACAGCTCTTCAGAATGGAATCCATTATTAAAAAAAAAAACCATCCCAACAGTATCTTTATACATCTATCGCTTTTTACGTTTTTCAGTCTGAAAGCAGTTTACAGGTTAAGCCATTTATCAAGCCAAGTCACTGCAATGATATTTTTAAAGGATTTTCATTTTCTTAAACTGAAAATAGTTTTACATTCTTTTGCTAAATCAAGAGAGTCTCTAACAGAGTTAAATCAACTTGTCTTGTTAGAAGCTGAATGAACAGCTAAGCATTGTTTTGAAATTCTTTACCTGACATTTAGTTAAATGTGAGTTAATAGCACAGACCAGATTATAAATAGACTTGACTAGGTGAAGTTGAGTGCAATACTGCAAGCAAGGGTATTTCAAATTGTGAGAAGAAAATTACTCAAAATCAAACAAGTTCAGCATGTGACAGACAAAAATGATGTCCAATCTACTCCTGTAGTACTTGCATGCTAGAGATGACTTTTACCAGACCCAGAATTGAATCATGCAACTTTAGTTTCACTCAGATTGGTGTACCTTTCGCCGGATTTCTGCAGCTTCATGTTTGCGCTGGATTTCTTCCAATGAAAGATCCTTTTTCTTTGGAGGAGAGAGGGGAAACTCTGGAATAGCTTCAGCTGCAGGTGGACTCAGGATCAACTCAAAAGCCTGTCCAGAAGACCTCTTGTCCAATTCTTTCACCTTGATATCTGAAAAATACATCTACTCAGTACTGTTACCACCTGACATGCCAACTTACTAGAAGTAATTGGACCTTAAACTTGGTGACAATTTCAAAGAATGCTGCAGTTAGGAAAAGCTGTCTCATGACAATCCATTGTAACAAGAGACAGGAAAATTGCATTTTAAATTTGGCAT